CATGGAAAAAACAAATAAATCTTCAGATGGAGGGGTCTATAAGTCTACATATCGATTAAACTATGCATGGATGGAGAAAACACAATGAATTTACACAGTAAAGAGTTCATGTTGAGTAAAATATACGTAGATGGAGAAAACACATAATGAATTCTGCATAGTAAATACTTCTCAACATACGTAGATGGAGAAAACACATAATGAATTCTGCATAGTAAATACTTCACATGAAACCAAGTATTTTACATGAAAGAACTTATGGTGAACATCAAATATAAAATACAAATTTACTTCATAATAAACTACACATAAAAAATAAATTTACTTAAGATTACCACATGTGAAAACTAACTTCACATAAGAGATCAAATAATCAAAATTGTCATGAGATAAAATTCATATAAGAAAGTTAGATGAAAAATATGCACGGAGATAGAAGGAGAATGAAGTGGTGTTAGGGTTTGACCATGAAAATGAGAAGAAGAAGATGAAGAGAAAAGTATAGTGGTGAGAAAAAAGAAAGGAAAGGAAGAAGATAAGACAAAGGGATTAAGTGTAGTGGTGAGAAGAAGAGAAGAATAAAAGGAGAAGAAAAAGAGATTAAGTGTAGTGGTTAGTAGCAGAGAAGAGGAAAAAGGAGAAGAAGAAGAGACGAACAAGGGATTAGGTGTAGTGGTAAGAAGAGGAGGAGAAGAAAAAGAGATGAAGAAGAAAACAAAAATAAAAAGAAAATAAGAAGGAATTAAGTGTATGGTGAGAAGAAGAGAAGAAGAAGAAAGAGAAGAAGAAAAGAAGGAGAACTACATTGGAGAAGCCAAAGAACACCAAAAAAATGAACATCAAAGAGAGCACTAGAGTGGCTTCTTTGTGTATTTTAGTGTGAATCATTTAAATGAAGAGTGTAAACTTATTTTAATTCTAAGGAACAAAGGGAGAATGGTTTGGTCTGTTGATGCTTCAAAATTGAATAGGGAGGAAGATGAGGTTGATGGTGTAACTACATCACTTTGGTGTCGTAATTACTATTCACACATCATCAAAAAAATTTTAGCAAGAAGAGGAGGATGAAAAGAGTAGCTCACAAGTCACTTGTATTTGAATATATTATTTGATGTGTCATCAACAAATTTTTATCAAGCATGAATCTAGATGCATTTTTAATAGAGTCTTTCAAATTCAAATTTAAGATCCATACGACCCCAATTTTAGCAAGTTTATATTCAAACTAATTGCCTCAACAAGATAAACACAATGGTGTCAAAATTGGTTCAATTCAGGTCCAATCAATCATAATTAGAGGTTTTGTATAATAAATTTAGTGGTAAAACAAACTCCAGATTTAACATTCTTATGGTCAAATCGAGTGTCTCAATGAGTGGAACAAAACAATCTGAAGGTCGCTAAATTTCAAGGACATTAAATTACATATATTCTTAAAAAATATTTATGATAAAGGAGGATCAACATGGACTGTCCAATCAGATAGTTAGAAAAGTGAGACGTGTAATGACCAAATTACCCCTTCTAAGAGGCTATAAATAAGCCCACTCTTTTCACCTAAGAGGAGGAGGAGAAGGAGAGAAAAAGAAGTGAAATTCTAGAGCATGTTCTGGAGAAGACTAAATGTTTAACCACCCATCTTTGACCATCACCCGTTGACCACCATTAACTGTCGCCCGTCCTCACCACATGCCACCATCGATCACCAGCCATCGACGACCACTAATTGCAAGCATTATAGTTAGATTATAGTTTTTGTGGTTAATTAGTATTGTTACATCTTCCAAATACATCTTTTTTGGCCAACTTACAATAATCAACAACAACCTTTATTAACCATTTTTACCTTCATAACACCTAATTATGAATCTTTCGGCCAACCACTACTATTGCACCTTCCAACTATAGTCTTTGTGGCTAAATTATGCTATTGCATACACTGATAATAAGTATTTATGGCCAACTAATGTCATTGTAGAAACCAACTATGATTTTTATGACCAACTACTATTATTATAGCTTCTAACCACAAACTCTGTGACAAACTGCTACTATTGCAACCACTGATCACAACCTTTCTGGCCAATAACTGACTTCGCAGAAACTAACAATGACCTTTATGTCTAATTATTCCTATTATAGTCAAGAACCACATTTGGTGTAGCCAAATTATAACAATTATATCTAATTTATTATTGTACATCTGTGATTATCAAGTTTATAATCTCACATTCTCTAATTTAAGAAAAAAAGTGGATCTATATAATTATATTACATAATGGATAACTTTGACTAGGCTAGGCCCTATAATTATTTTCCTTTCAGCGTTATTCCATGTAAAAATTTTGGTGTTTTCTCTAGCTATTTTTCTTTTCTCATTGTATAATGGATCTTTGTGCAAGGCTAAGAAGTTAAATTATCACTCTACCACAGTGAATCTTCTGACACACAACAATATTTTTACAATCATATGATAAAATATTCTTCAATGTTGACATTAATCGTATCCACAAATAATAACCTTGAATAGAGTAGTGCACATATTTTATAGAATGGTCACATCTTCATTCATACCATTTCTATTTGAAAAAAGAAAGTTGATGTAACAAAAAACAAATTCATTTACTGCTACTTCCATTTGATCAACTTAATTTTGCATCACTCATAGAGTCATCCCCATCGAATGGTGGTTTTAGCATTTATGTGTATGCTCGTCCATCTTCATAGGTGAAATATTAATAGTGATAAATTTTAAATGTTGTCTTTAAGTACAAAATAGTGATAAATTTTAAATGTTGTCTTTAAGTACAAATTAGTATATTTAATTAAGTATTATGCTAATCATTATTTCTTAGAATTGTTACATATAATAATATGTTTTTTATTTTATTTTATGGACATAAGAATTACAAGTAAACCAATATAGTAAAAGATATTTACAAATTTGTAAAATTTGCTTAGAAGTTATTAAATGAGAAACAAGTAAGAAGAAATAATGGAGTATATCAACTATTTGGAAAATCATAATTTAAGAACCAACTTCAAATAGGCTAATGCTAATATATTTAAAAATATAGCCTCAAATTTCAAACTACCTAGCTAAATTAGGAATTTTATTTTTCATAAAAAAAAAGATGCATAGATTTTAAAAAGTTTTTTTTGATATTTCTAATCTTTGATGCCAATCCAACAAAAATAGAGCTCAAAAGATGATTTTATCTCTCAAACATTACAAAATGAAATGACTAGGGAACTTTGTATATGGGTTTCCTTTCCGAGTTAAGCTAATCATTTGTTATTAATCAATATGGATCACTTTGTAATTAACTTTGTTATTTCTTTTCTCAAATTTTTATTAATTATGGTTTTACTATAGTAAATACTTCTATTTCAATTTGATTTTAGATGTTATGCATAAATTAAATATTAAGTATGTACACGAGAATAAATTAGTACTATAATAAAAAATTAAAACAATTACAACATTATGGAGGTTTACAAATGAGAATAAGAATTTTCTCCTTTCAAGAAAAATGGTTTGTATAAGTAAAAGACAAGAGGGAATTGCATTTTCTCCTTATTATTGATATTGCTTCAACACCTAAATCAAGGGAATTAAGTAGTTGCACTCTTAGTATTGTTCTCGTGATTTTATCAAAGTTTCCTTAAATCATTTTTCTTAGTCTCTCCTTCATTTTAGTCATATTTTTGGTTGCCATAAAGTCTTTAATTTTTATTTTTTTTCAATAAATTATTTAATAATAATCTCTTTATTATTTTGTTTAAAGCTTTTGCAGATCATTGAACATTCCTTCCGATCTTTGTAACATAACCATGTGCACGTACTCTTTAGGTTGTTAGATTTTTTTTAATTATGATTTAAGTGTGAATCTTACTAACCTCGAGGAAAGAAAACACCGAGTAGGAAGTAAAGAATGGTGGATAGGGAAACAAAGAGAAAGAGGAGAAAACTCGTTATTTCTTTATTACACGATCAAATTTTGATGAAATTAAAAAACATGGCTCATCCTACAATTGTTTATATGTGAAAAATGAATGCTTGGGATGCTATATGAATTGCAATTGAATGAGTAATACATACAAGAAAATAAGAAAGAAATAAGACGTTTAGCTTAAGCAGATATATAAATTTAGGCTACTTGTTGGACCTGGAGTTTAGAAAGTTACTAGCTCTCATATTGGCAATTACTAAGTAGCTCTATGGGTTTGATGATTTTCTGCGTTGATTCATTCCAACAAGTCTTTTGACATTATTGGTCAAATTCTTCATGAGCATAGTGGATGTTTTCTCATAATCAACTAATAAATTCACTTCAAATTTTACGGGTGAGTGCCTTGAACACAATTGGTGTCTCCTAGGATTTGAGTGATAAGTCCACTTTGAGCTATGCTAGCTAGCTTCCTTCTCTTAGTATATTATTGGTGAACATGCCTTAAAACTAGCCTGGTGTAGTTGTCCTAAGCAGAGCTTGACGAGTTTGTTACTAGCCTCAATTGCTCTGTTTCTCCTTGAATTTCGTTTGGGCAACTACACTATTAGGATAATGCATATTTTAAAAATTTTCAATAAAAAATCTCATATACCAATGTTTCATATATTTTACCTTGGAATACATTAGATGCCCAATCTTACAAATTTTGTTCTTAATATCTACTAAATCCTATATCTAAAATTGTTGAATCTTAAAAGCTATATTAATTATTCATTAATGGCTACTAATTCAATTGATTAAAAAATTAAATTAAGTTAAGAATATGATTCATTTAATAATATTTTTATCAATAAACATACTTACCCGGATATGGTGGTTGAGAATTAACTTAGTGAAGTAAAGTTGACTATTCAAATCAGCATATTGAAATTTGGGCACATATTTATCTTGAAAGCATCATCATCAATAATAATTAATTGATGAATTTTTAAATTATTTAAAAATTTTAAGTTTAAAAGCAAATGATTGCAAGCGAAGCCCTTTGTTTTTCCCTAACGCTCCTACCAAGCGAAATCCCCGTTTTTTGCCCTCCGCCGTAAAGCTTGAGGATTCCCATTGCCACGCTTTGCTCTGCTCCAACGATGGCGGAGACGAAGACGAAGAGGATCTGAAGTGAGGAAAGTCGCGACGACAGCTCAACGGTGAAGGCTAAGGTGAGCGGGATTTAAGATTCCGTAGGACTTAAACTTGCCATTTTTGCTGTTTGCCGGAATTTTGGTTAAATATTGCTTCAATTCTGATCAAATCCTGCTACCAAACAGCCCCTAAACTTCTTAAGCTTCGAAGCCCTAACTTTCTATATGCCCGCGACGGAGTTCCTGCGCTACTGTTCTTCCTTCTGTGGTTGCGGTGACAATATTCGGGGAGCTGAGCAAAAATTCTACTAGCTGTTTGGTAAATTCTCCTAAAAACATCTCAAGAAAACCCATAGCATTTTTCATTTTTAAGCTTGGCTTAAAATCCTTTTTTTTTTCTTTTTTTTGGGAATCCGTTGGTATTTTCAATTTTTTCCTGCATGATTCACTTTAAACTGAAATAGATCGTACCTGAGTTCCTTTTTACGCCGCCTTTTTATTTTATTAACCTCATTTAGTTTGCTTTGATCGCGTTATACTGTTTTTTCATTGCTTTAAGTTTAAATATGAGATTTGAGTGCTTGGTTTGAGAAACATATAGAACGGAAAATCTTATTTTCCGAGCCTATCTACATGTGAAAAATCAAGAGCTTACTTCTTACATATAAGGGAGGAAAGTATACTAAACTAACCAACCGGTTGTTGCGTGGTGCTTTAGTATTCACATAACTTCAGTTTTTGTAGACTTATAAGGAAGCTTATCTGGTTTAATAAGTTCTGATATCTACCAGTTTTTTTTTGTAGAAAATTTGAAAAATATGAAGTTTATAATGTATTAGATAGTATTGCTTTCTTATGATCTTTGGCTTTCCTCATTAAATTATATGATGGAATTTATGATGAATTTTCTAGGATTTAAGGTTTGTTAAAAATGCTTTTAATATGCACATGATGGTACTGTTTTCCTCTTTTAAATCTTTGTCTTTCGCTAAATTGCATCAAACATGTTCTTGCATTAGAAAGCCAAGGTCTACCACCTTGGTTAGTGGTGTGATTTTTTTTAGTAATTTATGTTTGACAAGTGGCACAATTTTTGTTCTGATGTTATTGTAATCATAGTGAAAACCACTTCTTCTCACATCTGTAGCATATTTTGGATTAGGTATTATTATTGGAAAAGGCATGTCATTTACCTTTGTTGGATGAATTATGAAAGAACTCTTTGATCTTGTTTATTTTAAAAACATTTGAGTAATTGTACTTTTTTTTTGTAGGCATCATGCAATATTTATAAGCATGAACATTTTAATGGTTTTATAGTGTTTTATGGCATTTAAATTGACAAGGGGAATTTCATAGATTTATTTAACAACCACATCAACACAATAGTCATGTAAATATTAGATTTTTATAATTTCTGTTAGCATAAAATTAGAATAATCTTTTTGATGCAAAGAGTTTATAAATACTCATTACGGGATCTACTATTAAATACATAAATAAAAATAGAATAAAGGAAAGAAAAGTAAATAAAAGCAAATCAAAGTTAGGATTTAAAGGAAAGAAAAGTAAATAAAAGCAAATCAAAGTAATTGATATAGAATTTTGCATATTAATATTCTAATATTGTAATACTCCCTTTCAAGTTGAAGAATAGATGCCGATCATGTTCAACTTGGATTTGAAATCATCGAACAATGACCGAGGAAGGTTCTTTATGAGAATATCTGTTAGCTGGTCACTAGCCGGTGCAAACGGAACACAAATTTTCCCAGAATCGAGCTTTTCCATCAGCATCTCATTGCTTTCTTGTCTCGAGGAAGATCATCAATGTCTCTATTATGGTTCCACTTAAGGACATTCATCTCCTCCATGACAGCAACTTCTAGGCTGAGTCTGCCAAGGCAGCCTCAATAGTAGATGGAAGCTGATGATTGGTCGGGACCATAGTAAATGTTCTTTAGGTTGGCGATAATCTGCCAAAAGAAACATAGTTTGCCACGTAATAGAAAGAGCATGTCTAATTGTGTATCTTACTAAAAGAGCTGACTTCCTCATTTGGAGTAGGAGCGGTGCTGGGGATGTCGTCTAGAGAGGATTGAAGATCCGACAAGGGGTTAGTGAGCTATAGAGTAGGTGCATCAGAACGAGTGCGTCGAGTGTAGACTCGGAGAGTGGGAGGGTGCACTAGTGGGACCAAAGGGGCAGAGGGCTATTTGGTTGTAGAAGTGGGTGAAACCAAATCAACAGAGGGTTCCTCGATGTTAGGTGAAGTGGGGGGAACATTCATAGGAGTTGAGTAAGGAACTATATCTTAGAACTAGCTTCACCTCACTAGAGGCTGAGTTCGGAAAGTAGGGAACACTTTCAATTAAGAAACATCAACATCTACATAGACCTTATTTGTGGTAGGGTTAAGACACCAATACCCCATTTGAGTGGTATACTATCTTAGAAAAACACATTTTATGGTTATGGGGTCAAGTTTACTCTAAGTTGTTGCTGTGTTCTGAACAATGGTTGTGCACCCAAAAATTTTGTGATCTAAAGTGGAGAAGACCTAATTGTTAGAAAAGCACCATCTTAAGACTATTAAATGGTACAACAGTTGTGAATTTTTTAGGGAACTCTATTGATGAGAAGTGGCGGTAAAAATGACATCATTTCAGAAATGTTATGAGATATTAGAGTGAAACATAATGGAGTGAGTAACGTCGAAAAGATGTTAGTTTTCTTTCTCGATTATTCCATTCTATTGAGGAGTGTCTGTACATGCGCTATGATGAAGGATGCCCTTATTTACCAATAATTCTCCTAATATAGAGTTAAACAATTCTTGACTATTGTCAGTTTGAAGGATTTGAATAAAAGTTTTGAATTAGTTTAAAATCAAGGTATATAAGTTTTGAATGTGAGAACAATTTCATATTTATTTTTTAAAATATAGACCCATATTATTTGTGTGTGGTCATCAATCATAGTAAAAAATCACCATTTAATTGTGTGGCTAAGAGTGTGAGAGGGTCCCCATAAGTATTTGTGAATAAGAGAGAAATAAGAGAATTGTGTGTAATTGTGGAGTGGATAAGGAGCACATTGATGTTTAGCTAACTAACAGGTTTCATATTTAAAATTAGTAGAATTTTTGTTAGTAAACATCAACATATATAATTATTTTAGATACTGCGAATTAGGATGACCTAAATGACAGTGTAATAACATAATAAGACATTCAGAAGATTGAAAAAATCTGCAATTACTGGGTAGAGTGTCCTTATTCTATATGCTTTCCTCTTGGAAGTAGAGCCCGCCAATTTGCTTAGCATTGACAATGATCCTCCTTGAATGACAATGCTGAATGATATAGACATCAAAGGAAAAATAAGCAACACAATCAATGTTATATGTTAGTTTACTGTCAGAAAAAATATTACATTTCAGTAGAGGTATATGTAACACATATTCCCGAGTTAGACCTGTTGTTAAAACAACATATCCTTTACGAACAATGGTACTTTGAAACATGTTAGTAATTTTAATAGCTTCTTTTTCTGAGCACGGATATTATGTCGAGAAGACTTGACGTCTGTGGCACTGTTGTCTTTCATCTTTCTTTTTTTCATTTTTAAAAGAGCCGTCAGCTTGTCGATCGTCGTATGCTTCCCTTTCTCAGATAAATTTATCATCCAGATATTTGGATAATCAGGATAGTTCAAGTATGTTCGCCTAAACAAGTTTGGACGGAGACACCTTAGACCAATATCTGCAAAAGAATACCTACGTAGGCTACCCATAATCAGAGTCAGGTGTAGGTGTCTGTACTGGGGTCAAAAGCACTCCCAAGTCCACGTATCCCACTTGTTTAATTATATCTTTGGGAATACCCAAGTATACTATTGATAAAAGGAGTTTCCCTTTAATATACTGGACATAAGGAAATATGTCATCAAAGGAAGGTTACTTTGTGGGGGAGTACCCATATGCTTCAGAGCTCTTGTTAATTCATTGGGCAGAGAGTGAGTCTCTCACATCCGAAATGAGTAGCGGCCACGAAATAATCAAAATTAACTTGATGATGATATCCCAACTTGTCAAAGGAAGTTCGGGCTACAACGACAGGGTACAAATTGTCGTATCCCAAACGGGCAGTAGCTCATCAGCATAGGGCCATCAACATGATATCAGAGTCACATTGAAAGCCGATTAAGTAGTAATCCATAACAAGTAGAGGTAGTCGGGTCGGGGTACCACAGACCCGTCATCCTGAGTCACTAGGACCGTAGGTTTACCGTCATGAAGGTAGTCGAACCAACACGTCCTGAGATCCCTGGTCAGCAATCCATGAATTACGTCATCTACGGCGATCTCGGTAGCCCTATGGTCAAAGGAAGGAAACTCTCTCCTATGACTATAAGTTGGAGCTCCAAGAAGTGGGACATATGCTTGTCGAAGTGACAATGATGCCTCAAGAAAAAAAGAGAAGTAGATATTCAGCTACAAAACTGGAAACACTCTGAACAAAAGGACTTATACCCATTTGGATCGGGAGCCTTCTAGTACTCTATGCGCATTAGACAACCACTCGTGTAAAAAGGTCTACTAGGCCAGTCGGTTTGGAGAAGCATGGGGGCTTCTCCTGGGGGCATGCAATATGAATGTCATTTTCTGGAGCGTTCCTTAAATAATATGGAGGACCTATTAATAGGGGTGTAAACGAACCGAACACGAACGAACAAAGCTTGTGTTCGTGTTCGGTTCGTTTAAAATTTAGTTTGTTTGAAATAAGCTTGTGTTCGTTTCTTAACGAACGAGCCGAACACGAACCGAACACGAGCTGTTCGCGAATAACTTATATTATATAAATATACAATATCTATATTAGTATATTACTACTATAGTATATTAATATATTATTATTATTATTTTATTATATATTATAATTTATAAAATTTAATGTTTTAAAATATAATAAATTTTTTATATATAATTATTTTATATTATTTTATATTTCAAACAATAACGATTCGAACACGAACGAACGCATCACTGTTCGTGTTTGGTTCGTTTAACTAACCGAACGAAAAAAAATTGTTCGCGTTTGTCTCGTTTACTTATCGAACGAATCGAACACGAACTCATTGACGAACCGAACACGAACTGTTCGCGAACAACGAGCTTTTTTGACAGCCCTACCTATTAATATGAATGGAGAGATAGACATGCATGCAATCCGTTTTAAAACCTACTCGAAGACCATGCAGAAAAATAAAAATGAAGATTTTAGTAATTCTGAATATTTAAGATTTTGTAGAAAGTTTT